GAATATCAAAATTTTTAATAAGATTATATATATCTTTGACATGTTTATGAAAACAGTAAAATTTCATATTTTATGTCTGAAACATCCATTGTACATATATACCATATTTTTATCCATTCCTCTGTTGTTGAACATCTAAATTGGTTCTATAACTTGGTTATTATGAATAGTGTTGAATTAAACATGGATGTGCAAATATCTCTATGATATGTTGGCTTAGAACCTTTTGGATAAATAACCAGGAATGGTATAAGCATGTCATCCTTACTGGCTATTAAACTAAAACTTTACTGAGATTCTATTCCACTTGTTCCTTAAGAAAACAAATAATACGTTGGAGAAATGACTTAGTGGTTAAGAATACTGGCTGCTCTTGAAGAGACTCAGGTTTTGTTCTCAGCTCCCACATGGCAACACGCAATCACCTGTAACTACAGTTCTGGGTAACTCATCCACCCTGCAATGAACACTGCATGTACAAGATGCACAGACATACACACAGGCAGAACAGCCATGCACATAAAATAATAATAAATATTTTTAAGAAATGAAAAAAGGTATCTGACATGAATGTGCACAAAAGGAATGCTATCTACTGTTGGTGGGAGTGTAAACTAGTACAGCCCCTGTGGAGTGGCTTAGCCGATAAGAACGCTGCTTTCAGAGGACTCAGGTTCAGTTCCCAGGCTGTGCACCACTATCTGCAACTTCACTTTCAGGGTATCTAATACTTGTTTCTGGGCTCCTAGGGTAGCAGACATGTATGTGGTGTGAATGCTATGTGCAGGCACTCACACAAACACAGAATATAGTAATAATAAGCTGAAAAAAGAAACTAAAAAAAGATTTGTGTTCTTTTGTTCCTTTTTCTTTCATTCATCGTTTTCTTTCCTCTCTCTCTCTCTCTCTCTCTCTCTCTCTCTCTCTCTCTCTCTTGACAAGGTTTCTCTGTGTAACAGCCCTAGCTGTCCTGGAACTCACTGTGTAGACCAGGCTGGCCTTGAACTCCCAGAAATCTGCTTTCCTCTGCCTCTTAAGAGCTGAGATTAAAGGCATATGCCATCACTGCCTGGTCAGATTTGCATTCCTGAATGCAGACTTTTAGGTATGTATGTAAGTCTACTTTGGAGAACTGAAGTACTAAGAATTCAGGGTAGAGAGTCTAGATGGACTCAGCCTAGAGAACTTTTGACCTTTGCTGAGGTAAATTTAGAGCATCCTATTATCCCTTTCCTCTTTAGCAAACTTTTCCCTTTGTCTATTTCCCCAAAACAGTCAAAGTTAGCCACAACTCTGGTGTCATCCTCAAACTTGTTGAAACAGCAAGTGTGCCTTCTCACCTCTTGGCTCTACCTAAGAGCAGCTGCCACCACAACACATTCCTTTCCTTTTTATTTTAAAAGATTGTTTTATTTTATGTGTAGGAATGTTTTATCTGCATGTATATCGATGCACCATATGTGTTTCTGGTGCCCTCAGAAACCAAAAGAATGCATTGGATCCTCTGTAACTGGAGTTGTGGATGGTTGTGAGTTCCGTGTGGGTACTAGGAATTGAACCTAGGTTCTCAGGAAGAGCAGCTAGTGCTCCTAACCACTGAGTCATCTTTCCAGGCCCACAGTAAATTCTTAATAGTGTTTACCATGGATCAGAAACTGCTCTAGGGAGAAAAATACAAATATACATGTATTTTCTTGAGTTATCATACATTTTGAAGTAAATGCACTGATTCCCATTTTAAAGAAAACAGACATGGAGATGTTAAGTGAATAGTTCAAATTGCCCTTTTAGTCGATGGCAAATGAGGATTCAGTCAGTTTGGCTTAGTATATGCTTTTAACTGTGATATATCATCCTTTGCTGACGTGGGATCCCCCTCTGTATGCTATGGAGATGTTTTATTACCATTGGTTAATAAAGAAGGGCAGAATAAAGCCAGACGGGAAATCAGAATTTTGCTTTTAACTCTGGATCCTATATTAATTACAACACTGTTTGGCCAGTGGCTCAAGCGTATTCCTAGCTAGCTCTTACATCTTAAATCAACCCATTTCTATTAATCTATGTATCACCACGAGGCTGTGGCCTTATGGGTAAGGTTCTGGCATCTTTCTCCTTCAGCAGCTACATAGCATCTCTTTGACTCTGCCTACTCTCTCTGTGTATTTCTTCCAGCCTCGATATATTCTGCCCTGCCATAGGCCAAAGCAGCTTCTTTATTAACTAATGGTAATAAAACATATTCATAGAATAAAGAGAGGAATCCCACATCAAAGCCTCATTTCTCAACTTTGTTTGCATATATAGAGAGATTAATATAGTTTCTGTTTGATTATTCAGGTCTGGAAGGCTGGGAAATGAACGAAGCAGTCTCTGCCTACATTTTGCTCTAAGACTTCAATCACTAGGCCACCCTAATTTTGCTTCTAACTCTGGATCCTGGATCCTGGCTGGAGTCTTTCTTAAGAAATAAACTTCCCCCCATCTGTTCTTTCCTTTTCGCTCTGGACTAAACAGAATCCCTTTTATGATACATTTAGTTTTTGAATGCTAACTTGGATTGCGATTTCCCTACCATTTTCAGTCTTGTGAATAACTCCGGTTACCCACGACTTCGGATTTCCAATCCTCTCAGGGTCCCTTCGAACTTTCTTGTTCACTGAAAACACCTGCTTTGAACAGCTCTGTCTTCTAACAACTCACACGATGAAATCTTCTCAGGTTGAAATCAGTTCTTCGGGCAGAATGCCGTCTTCCTTGCCAATTTTTCTTTTGCAGAAATCCACAATGGCTGTCTACACAGGAAATCTCAGTCACTGCCGTTTCCAGCCCTCCCAGATCTGAAACCCACCATTTGCATTGTGGGTGAGACAGTTTTAGCTGCTTTGGGAGATGCGCCGTTACAGAATACTCTTTGAGCACAGGTATGTAGTAACTTGCTTTTCCTGTTGACACTGGGGCAAAGTCATGTATAAACAAGTATGTTCCATTTACTTGTGTTTTGACTAAGATCCTCGAGTTAGAAATAGAAATAACACTACAATAATAATTCACAATCAAATTGTAGAAATGCATATACGGTGATAATTCTAGTCAAGAAAATTATGATAAAATAAAAAAAAAACAAGATGCAGCTATGAAAAGGAAAATTCAAGAAATCCTAAGCCATGTAGGAAGAGAAAATCATGTGTTTTAGGGAAAGAACCACTTATATTAGAAGGGGGAAAAATGAGTGGGTTGAGAGTATCCCATTGCAGCCTATCTCTTCTTATCACAGGAAATAAACAGACAAAATGAAGTTAACCCTCGGGACTCGATGCTCTCACGGGCTTCTTGGAATCTTGCAGAAAGGACGGACCATATGGTAGGAAGTACCTTTGTGACAACATGGGCTCAGATGAAATTTCAAGGATTATAAATCCTCTTGTTTCATCTCATAATTTGATGAACAGCTGGTACCAGGAAGTATAACATTGCACGATTAAGTGCCTGCATTTCTTTTTTTAAAATAACTTTTTTAGTAACATCCGGGTTTGGCTCCTGGAAATGGAACATGGAACTACTCCAGGGTGATCATTAATCTGCCTCGGCAGGGCAGTCTTCCCACACGGGGGCCATTCATAATGGTCTGCTAGAGTGATCTGTTGCACCATATGGGGGGAGATGGACCAAGAGATTGAGCAGCAGAGGAATATGCGGAAGTTGGAGTTCTGATCTTAAAAAAAAATAAAAAGGAAAAGAAAAAAGGGAGGCTGCCATATCGTCTATCCATAGTCCAGAAGAGGTCAAGTGGTTAATTTTGTGTCCACTGTGAGGCACATACAGTCATGAAGAGGAAAAAGAGATCCAGTGAAGAGAGCAAATCAACGCCTTTGGAAATGTACCAAGTTAAATATCCTTTCTGTGGTATCCTCAAAGAATCGGTGGAAGACAATGGGGAAGGGGATCCTGAGAGCAGAGCTATGCTAGGTGTGCAGTGCCTGCTCGTGTGTCCTAGGTTGTCCAGAGAGGACCAAGGGGGCTAGGAGATCGAGTGTGAACGTGTTCCTTCCTGGGATGGTTGACGGGTGCCATGCCTCTTCCCAGTCCCGTTTTCACCTGTCCATTGCTTTAGTCTATGCTGCAGACATGCCCGATGACTTTACTCTGAGAGGGAAAGAGAGGAGTGCCAGGTAGGTTATCGGATGAATGACTGTATGCGTGAATGGATAATTGTTCACATGCCTCGACACTTTCTGTAAGCAGTCAGCTTGTTAGCATAAGTTCTAGATCCTTGGTTACTGTTTCTCTCCTTGAGGCAGGATTGTAAGAGCAAGGAGGGCAGTCACAGGTGAGGTGGGCAGAGAAGACATATACTAAAAGAGAGAGGGAAGGATGATGGGAGTTGTATAACTTTATGTATTTAAACCTGAACTTAGTCCAAAGACTCTGCCTTTACCTGCTATATCAGTCATTTAACTTACTCTTTGGATTTGCTTAGAACATTTTAAAAGAACCCCAAAAGCATATGTTTAAAGCAGTGTTCGGGCTAGCAGATGTTAAGAAATGCAAACTGGAAACTGTGGCCGTCAAATGGAATGGTCAGTATTGCTGAGTCCTTCAACCCTCTCAAGGTAAGAGGGGCTAATGTCAGCTCAGCTGCAGCAAAGGCAAAAGGGGGTGGCTGCTGAAGGGACAGGCAAGGAAGACAGCCTCCATTTAACACCCCAGGGGAAAGGCAGCAACTCATGGTTCCGGGACAGCAATTTCATTGTGCCAGGGGACAACAGAAAATGAGCACAAACAGACTCCCCCCACCCCCCACCCAATATAAACACACGCAGACATAACCTACTTTTGCCCTTGAGTGACCAGTGATTAGGACACAGGTCAAAGGGTTGTGGCGTGACAGAAAATGGAGCCTTATTGAATGAAGGGGAAATAAAAAAATTCTTTTGTTTGCTTCACTCTGGAGTTTATATGGTTCCTGTGATGTCATAATGGAGTCCAGAGTGGGAAAGAGAAGCTCCTGATTTTTCACAGCTGGAGACAGGCCGTCGGAAATTCAGTAAAACACGAAGGGAAAGAACAGTCACAAGAGAGAACCACACAGAAGTCAGTCTCTCTTCTCTCAAGGGTGGGTACAGCAGTCATCTTTCTGATCACCATCAGAAGCCCCGTGAGACCACAGAAGCTTCTGCTGCACGCACAGTGCAGGAAAGACCGATATGGAGCCTCCACTGGCTTCTTTCCTTGAGTCTCTGAGGTGTCCTCCTCATAGTGGGCTAGGAGAAAGAATCGTGATTCTTAAAGCTAAACAACCTGAAAGTATAATCCACCACAGCGCAGAAAAAAGTTCACAGACACACCTGGGTGTATATATTTAAGCACTTCTATATACCAAAAGGCGTTGAAACATGACATGTATCTGACAGAGTGCTTAACTTTACAGACATGAGTAAGAACCAGGGTTTAATTTGTTCTTTTATTTCTTTTCTTAAAGTCTGAACAGTTTTGAAGTTTGGGTAACTTAATTTTTTTTTTACTCAAAATTTTCTTCTGGGTAAAAAAAAAAATTCTGACCATAAAAAATTTGCTCCAATCCATTCTATAATTCTGTTGATAAAAATAGCATCAGGGGAAGAGCACTGTGTTCACCTTAGAACAATATGTATGCATGATTTGTGTGTTTTCTTCAATTCCAAATCTTGAGTCCCGATTGCCCTGTGCTTTCTGACATGTTCGGTCTGAGCTGCTCATTGTCCTTTTGTTGTATCAACACTAGGGAGCTACTGTCTTTCAAACTGCACTTCATGCTTGAGAGAATCAAACAAGTTTGGTTAGCGCATGTTTTTTTTTTAAAAAATATGTTTTTTAAAACCTGCCTTAAAGCAGTCGTGAGTTTTGTGTCTGATTCAGGCCCTTGGGAAAGCTCCGCGGGTCTCCTGAAAGGCAACTCCTGACTACTTACAGCCGCTGGAACGCCTGAACACCCTCCTGGGAGATTGATGAGTCCTCTTAACCTTGGTGCGGAGATGGAAACGCGGAAACAAAGTGACTCAGAGGATTAAGAGGAAGTCAATGTCAGCACCAGGATTAGAATTCACACTTGCCTGGTTTCTCAGCCCAGGGACCAGCTCCCCCATGGATCCTAGCTTTGTCTCCCTCTGAGTGAGGAGGGGACAGGGTGTTTCCACACGTGGAAAGACTTCTGCTATTCTCAGGGCTCGGCCTTGTAGGAAGGCCCTTCCTTTTAATAAATTGCAGAGCCGGGAAGTAACTTGGAGGTGATTTATTCTAATCTCCTCACTTTATAAGTGAGAAAAAGGCCATAAAAATGCTAGAACCAGTAAGAATGCCCGGCCTGCAGTAACACAATAGGGAAGCAAATTGGTGTGTTGCAAAGCCCTGGATGGGAGGATTTGGAGGCCTAGCTTTGAAGCCTGGCTTTGCCTCTGATTGAACTCCAGTTTCTTTCTGTCCAGCAGAAAGCAACCTTGCCTTTGGTGTTTTATGACAATCAAACGTGCAAAAGTACCTAAGCTCTTGGGGGCCGCTTCTCACATCTCTTCCCCACGCGTTTTTATCTTTGTGGCAGTTATACACGTACAGTTTTTCTTCCAAAAAAAAAAAAAAAAGACCCTCAAATGGTCCCTTGTAAATGTTTAATCACAAATCAATAGAATTGCATGGGACCTCGCTCTTGGAATTTTCTTAAATTCAGTACGAGGAACCGGATTCTAAATGCCGCTCTCGACAGTTTAATGCACTGAGCCCAGAGTTGCGCAGAGCTGTAGTGGTATCCTCCTGAGTTAGGATTTGAAGCTCCCACAGAGCAGAGCGCGTGGAGGACAAGAAGAAGACCATGCCACGGAGTTCTGGGAGGTGCTGTCGAGTGCTTATGGAGACCAACGACTGCCAAGCTTCCGGTGCAGACCGTGGCTGTCTAGTCCTGGTCTTGTTAGTCAGTCCTCCCTAAGCCTTGCCCTTGCCACTCCTCCTCGACGAGCCTCCCCTGTCCTAATTAGACTTGCGCGCTCTTTGTCCTCCCTGGACTCATTCAGCATACTTCGCCTTATTTCCACCCAGAGACAGGCAATTCATCTTAATGAGTCTGAGCGCCCAGGGCCAGGTCTCCTTTGACTCTTAATTCTGAAGGAGGGCTTGTAGGCCAAATGCCTTGAGAGGATGGTGACGGTGGTGACCTACAAGGGCACAGGAGACTTCTGCTAGAGGAGAGAAGTCACTGGCTTTCTGCCTTCTGGAGAGGTGCAAAGTGATTTGTGTTCGAAGACTCTTAAAAACCCAAACCAGGACAACAACAACAAAATCCTTGACTGTGCTCCAGAAGGAAGGATTTAGAGGAGGCAGAACTGGAGGGAAGCATTTTTGTTTAAACAGTCTTCAGAGTGTAATGGGATTGTTATGATAATAATGATTTAGCGTCTGCTTAAGTGCTGTGTCCTGGCCTGAGCTCTTTCTTTGCAATGCCTCATTTAGTTCTCAACGGAGCTTCCTGAGGGTGGTTCTATAGGATGGCCATCTTGCAGATGGAGGACGGGGATGCCCAGTGTCTCACAGGTTGTTGTTCTTTCGGGCTCGTCATTTTTTTTTTCCTCCCAGGCTCTAGGATCTCCCACCTCTGATCCAAGAAGGTCAGCTTCTCCCTCTCCATACTCTGCCCTCAAAGTCCAGGTCGACAGTGTGTAGCATCTGTAATTCCATGACACGTGTGTTCCTCCGCGCCCACCTACACTCAACTGGGTTGATGGCTGAGGTTCAGATTCAAAGGTGTTGCCAGATGAACCAGGTCTGAGGGAAAGAGTTGGGAGCACTAGTCTGTGACAGCGGTGTCCTTCATTTCAGATTTTTGTACAGAAAAGAAAAGGAGGTTCGGTTGGTGCCTTCCGCCAGAGGAAATAATCTTTTTCTTCAGCCCTCAGGGAGCTTTCTGTGTCCCTTTTCAGATGAAAGGTCCCGTGGAGCCTCCTCCAGCAGCTCCCTGTCATTGTAAAGTCTGTCCCTTATTCGGCTCAGTTATGGACGACCTGGAGCGGAACCATTCCGACCCCTCCACTTCCTGGGTTCAGAACGCCCTCTTGCTTGGATTGTTCTTTGTTTTCTCTCTGAGTTTTTACAGGTGGAATGTTCGGTGCCGTTCACAGGAAGCCTGGGATTTCTCAAAGGTGTTCGCATGGTGTGTCTCTGGTGACAGCCTGTCTATGTCTCTCTAAAAGCACACAGTGGGTAGCATGGGAAACCCCTCTAGTGAATTCGCCAGACTTGCCAATAGATTCCGGCGCATTTTATGCGGCAGATGCTTTTAGTGCACTTTACTACTTTAGGGTGATTCCCACCCCCGCCGGCCGCTCACAGCCTAGCATCCTGGAGCTGACCTCTCCACGGAGAAGTTAGGTTAAAGAAGGAGACACGGAAATCCTCTCTGGTTTAGCAATATCCATTATTTCTCACCCCATATAGTAAAAGGGCAGCATTTTCCTTTGGTCTTCAGCCAGAACCTGCAGGATTTAAAAATGAAAAGAATTTAAAGAATGCTTTAAAAAAAAAAAAAAACTATAAGAGTGTCTCTCAGTCACAAAGGCCCTTGTAGCTCTAGCCTCTCAGTTTGCCGTGGCCTTGGGAAGAAGGCAGAAGGAAGGTGGGCCCAGGAGGGCATTGAGGGGTGTTGGTACTGAAGGGTGATACACGGATGAAATGGGCCTCTCTTTTGTTTCTTGTTATCTCTTCCTGTCTTCAAAAATAACTAAGTAGCATTTGAAATTAGACTCCTCCGCAGTGAGGGCATGGATGTTTAGCTCTTTTTTATGCAAGACTCCTGAAATACTGTGCACCAAATCAATCTGTATGAGCTAGATTATAATGGTCCATTTTCAATATGGGATTCCCCAGAGTTCATCCCAATTACTGGCAAGCAGGCAGCACCAGGCTCCTCCCTCCCTTGACTGGGGACTCTGGAGGTTACAGGTTTTCTGCTATGTGACAGATCCCAGGGTCAGAAGGTTGTGTGTGTGTGTGTGGGGGGGGTCGGGAATGCCAAGCCCCTAAATTGTTCACTGCATGAGATTTTGCATCCTAGGCCAATGACATGGGGAATTTGGGAGGTACCAACCCTGGCCTGCTACACCAGATGACAGTTCTCCCTGTCTGAGAATTATAAAAACCGTTGTCTTTTACCGAATCAACACGCCGGCCATTTTTGCCTGTTCTCTGTGCCAGTTACCTTCCTGCTGCAGGCTCGTATATGAAAGATTTCTTTGGTTTGTTATTATCAACACAATAGCTTTGGTTAACAGAAGAAGAAAAATGGTTCTCTTGAATGAAAGCACTTCATTTTCCTGCGTCTCAGCTGCTTTGGGGATACAGTTTTTCAGGGGTGGAAAACAGGAGGGAAATCACAATGGACGAAGAAGGTGGTCTTTCTTATTCATGATTAGGACTTTGCCTTTCTAGGGACTTACTAAGCTCAGTTCCTCTTATCCTCAGAAAGTTGTAAACTCTTCCCGAAGCTTATATTGTGCCTCAGTTCCTCAGGAAGTTTTTATTTTAGGAATATTAATACAAAAATGGGGGGAGTTGGTTTCATCACAATCAAGACAGTCAAATGCCTCTCCAAAATAAAAATAACCAGCGTCCCCTGTAGGACATGGGGGTTGACTGCCCAGATGTTTAAACAGTGTAGTCACAGCTGTTCACACTGCCACCATTCCTTCCAGTCCTAGACAAGCACTAATTACTTTTCATCTCCATAGATTTGTCTATTCAGGCTTCATACAAGTCAAATCATATATGTGATCAAGATCTTTAGTGATTGGCTTTCTTTCATGTATTATTATATTTTCGAGGTATATCCATATTATAAGATATAGGAGAACTTCCTTTTCAAGGACAAATAAGTTTCCACTCTATGGATATATCAAATTTTGTTTATTTATTTGTATCTGTTGAGACTTTTGAGTTGTTTTCACCTTTTGGCTTTTATGAATAATCCCACTATTATGAGTTTTTGCATGGACCTGTTTCTAAGTAGATTTCTTAGAGTAAAATTGATGAATAATTTGTTATGGTGGTTAATCTACATTGTCAATTTATTGGAATTTAGAATCAGAATGGGAACGTGCCTTTGGGTGTGGCTATGAAGGTCTTTATAGAAAGATTTGCATGAGTAAGGAAGACCCACTGTAAATGTTGGCAGCGTCATCCCATGGACCAGAGTCCCAGACTGCACAAAGAGAAATAAAATAAGAAAAAAAAAACCCAAAACAACAACAACAAAAAACGAAAGCAAGCTGAGCACTTGCATTCATCCCTTTCTGCGTCCTGGAGCAGACACAAAGTGAGCAGCAGCCTCATGGTCATGCTGCCATAACTTCCCGCCGTGACAGACTGTTCTCCCTTCAACCACAAGCAGAAACAAATCCTCCCTACAAGTTGCTTCTGGTCAGGTATTTGGTGATGCTAGTGATTCATGTAAGCCTATTCTAACCGTCTAAAGTCTGTTAGACCAACTTCCCAAGTGGTGTATATAATTTGCATACTAACAAACTGTTTTAAGGACTCTGATTCCTCAACACCCTGACCTTCTCTCTCTGCTAATCCTTTGATTTTTAAGCACCCCAGTAAGTATGAACTAGTATCATATTGTGGTTTGGATTTTGAGTTATTGGATAAGGACATCAAACATCTTTTTAGATTTATTAATGATTTATATTTTCTTCTTTTGTAGAAAAATCCATTCAGGTCTTTCACTTTCTTTCACAGTTGGGCTATATATATTTTTTAATAATGGAATTATAAAGCTTCTTAAAATATTCTAGACACAGGGTCTAGATATTATAGTAAGTTATTTGGTATTTAAAGTAAAGTCTTGTTTTTATTTGTTTGCTTTAAGTGGATCTATTTCCAGTTTGTACAAAAGGATGGCCAAATATAAAACTAAACAGGAAGCAGCAGACGTTTGCAGGTTCCCCAAGGGATCATGCCGTGTCACTTTATCTTGTGAGTTTATTTTTCTCTTCTTCAATCTAGAAGAAATCTGGGAATAGCCTTCCAAAAGGGTAAAACAAACAAAGATGCAGACATCTCAAGGAAACTAGAAGCCAAGAAATCAAAAGAAGCTTTCAGATGAGTGGGAAACCATGCATCCCTGCTGAAAGCAAGCTCATGCAAGTGTGTGCCTTTCTGGCGGGGGTTGGGGGCTGGGAGGGGGGCGGCAAGGACTCTAACCCTGTGTCCTGGCATCACAGGTGGGAAAACATCCCAAAAGGCAACTTGGATGAGATGTGGCTTCAGGCACTTTCCAGAGCCAGACTGTAAGTCTATTTCCGAGTGTCCTGCAGGTGTTCCAAGTGTCTGTGGACAAAACTAAAGCTAGAAGGCGGCAGAACGAATCTATCCTTGCTCTTCACGGCCACTCTTTGCTAAAGAGAGGCAGTAAACACATTTATTGTGCACTGTTTCCTCCTCTGCATAGTTTTTCATGTTCTTGAACGCAAGTGTATGCTTGTATGTGGGGTTATATGGACTTGTCTTTTTCTCTGAACCGCTTATTCCCCGGCTTTCGTGACAGTGTGGCTATCAAAGAGGCCTTTGAGACGAGAAACCTTGAGCCTTTTCCCTAGGAATGGATTCAAGGCAGATGTTGTTCATTACTCTTCTTCCAGCATACGGAGAGGGAGCGGTGACATTTGGATTACCTCTCTGCACCAGCGAGTATTAGCTGAGCAGGGGAAATTATTTCTCATTAAAACTGCCTACCCAGAAACCTGAAATGTCATAACCGTGAGTTTGCAGGACATTAAGGTGACTAATGGCAATACATGGCACTAAGTGACTTGAGTGACACATTGTGGCTTCATTGGCCTGGGGGTGGGGGGAACCAACATGACAACTCATTGGATTAGATGACTTATTTTAGGTCAAAGAGGGGAGCAGGTGAATTAGCTGAGGCATCAAGGGATTTGAATACCTTAATTAAGGGCTCACCTTTGCAGAATTCTTCCTTCCTTTTCCTTCCTTCCTTCCTTCCTTTTCCTTCCTTCCTTCCTTCCTTTCTTCCTTCCTTCCTTCCTTCCTTCCTTCCTTCCTTCCTTCCTTCCTTCCTTCCTTCTTTTTTCCTTTCTCTCCCTACTCATTCATAATTTAACACTTACCTATTGCCACTGGTAACACCTGTTCTGGAATGTCAAACAGCTCGCATGGAAACGCACTGGAGCTGTAGAGGGAGAGGACACCATTGCACGGGGCCCGTGGGTCCCTTTGATGCTCTTGGAAATGAGCTGACTTTCCCTGTGGATAGCAGTCAGTGTGGAAAAGGCAAGCGTACCTTCAGCTCTAGCAAGTGCAGCTTTTCTCCTTTTTCTCCATGGGAAAAGAAGTCGTGCCTACATTTGTTGTGTTTGTAAAAGTACTTTTAAGCAAAGAAAAATTACTTGGGAAAAATGGGAACTATTGCTTTCCTTGTCTCCCTCAAAAAATTTAATTGATACACACAGATTTACAGTCACTTAAAATTCATATGCCCATAACGGGAGGCGGGGTGGGGGATGCTGAGTGCTAACTGAGTCTTCTGTATTTTAAGAAGAAAAGATGGCTGCTATTTCCTACAAGACCCATCCCTAGCCTTAATTTCTTATACTTTACACATATTAATGTGTAGATGGTTCATAGCTTGATACCAAGAACTCATCGACTTGGGTCAATAGTTACATTGCTCTGTGCTTTGTTCTCATTGGCTGAAAAAATGAAACTATATTCTCTGTACTGCCTTTCATAATGCCTAAAAGATTAGATATTAGATACATGTCATCAATAGTGCCACTCTCTTAAGTCCCTGTATGCTGCACGACTGACCTTCCACATAAGATGTGAACATCTGTGAAATGGTGGCACAAATATTATGGCTATAAACAAGTACTTTCTGGTTAGAGAAGCCTGCCCTGGGTAGGAGGGGATCCGTGTCTGGTACTACAGTCCTGTGACGGGGAAGGTCACAGACCCTAGCAGAGAAATGACCCCTGCCTTGCTAATGGATACTACATACCCTCCAATTGCCTTCTAAACATGTTTACGCTTTATGATTGTTGCTGCTGCTGGCTTTGCTCTAACGAGCTTCTTTGGGTGGTGGATAACGGTTACTGCAGAGACACATAACTGGACAAAGTACTGAGAATAAGTGACCATTCCCTGCTGTGTGGCATCTGTATCACCCCTTCAAGGTTGAGAAAACATCGCCAGAAAGAATGTAAGAGCCAGAGTAAGAAGTGGAGTGTTAAGGAACACTGTCCTTCAGGTATGGGATGGCTGCCATCCTTTGGAACTCCCAGCAGCTGTGGTTACCCCATAAGACCTGCGCAAGATCTGGCCCATCAATGTTCCATCCTGAAGTGGGACGAGACTCTTGGAGCCGCACCCCTCCCTGAGAATTTATAAACAGCTGATGGTTACTGGGAGAAAGAACCTTTTCTCCTCTGGTGGTACAGACACAGGTGACTTACCCATACTCTCATTAATAAGTACTCATCCTGGGCCTGTGAGCTGGCTCAGCAGCCAAAGGTGTTTGCTCCCACACCTAGTGACCCAAGTTTGATAGCCACAAATCACATGGTGGGAGAGAATCAAGTCTCACAGGTTGTTCTGCAGCTTACACGTATGCACCATGACATTTGAACATGTACTCATGTGAATAAGTATAATTAAAAATAGATGTATATTTTTTACAAAAATAAATAAATTTTAAAAAATTTTAAAGAATGGATGTATATAATTTTTTAAAAATTCTCTTTCCATACTCCTGTAAATTAATTAAACTCATTGAATTATAAGCACACACAAAAAAGACATAAAAATAGTAGTGGAACTAATTGAGAAAAGGAAGGAATAAGTAGTAGGAAGGGAGCAAGAGTCAGCCACTGAGACTGGAGATTATATATATATGTGTGTGTGTGTGTGTGTGTGTGTGTGCGTGCGCGCACATATTTAAAATATATGAATTAAAATATCATAATGAAAACTTTTGTGCATAATTAATATCTATGTTTGAGTTTAGTGTCTGTTATAATAAACACCATGACCAAAAGCAACTTGAGCAAGCAAAGGGTTGACTTCAGCTTTGTGGGAATGTGAGGACCACTGCTTATACTGGCTTGCTCAGAAGCTCCCTTTTATAGTCCAGGCCTACCTGCTCAGGGAGGGTACTGCCATACTAGGCTGGGATCTTCATCAATTTGCAATTAAGAAAATACCCACACGTGTACTAACAGCAGCCGGGTTCTGGGTTGATGTCCTTGGCTCCTGTTGCCCCTTGGGTCTGTGCAGGTGTCTGGGGTCTAGACAGTCACCTGAGAAGATGTTGGTGTCTGAGGGCCTTGCTGCCACTGGGGCCATACTGATTTTGGGTGGCTTGTGCTGCTAGCAGGGCCAGGGCGACATTCTGGCCAAGCTGCTATCGAGGACCATGATTCTGGTGCATCTGGGGTCTGTGATGATGTTCATGGCCATTTTACCACAGGCGGTCTTAGGAACCATGTGTTTTGAAATTGGAGAGTCATGATGAACTGGCCCTGCCCCTTGCTGGACACTGCAGTGGGAGAGTGGATCCTATCCCTGCATGGGAGAGCTGGTCCCCACACTTGGGAAAGATGGCCCCAATGGCTTGGGCCTAGGAGAGCTGATTCTGCCACTTGCCTGAAGGGGAAGTCCCAGTGGCCCAGACTGAGCAGTTCAGCTACCACTCAAACCCACATTCTGAGGCTTGGGTTGATCCACCCTAACATCTACTCCATGTATGACCTGCTGTATATGAAGGGATGGTTCCTACAGGACAATAGCTGTAGTATCTCTGTGACTTGTACCAGCAGGATATCCGAGAGGAGTTTTGGTGAGCGTCCAGTATTGATGATGTGCCAGAGACCTTGAACCAGACCAATGACTCTTTGCAATGAACATTTTGTGGGTGGGGCTGATTGGGCAAAAGGGTATGCTATATGACACTGAAGCTCCCAATGCCACAAGGATAAAGAGGTGTTGAAAAGATGGAGTAATGAGGGTTTTTTTTAATTAATTTTTTTGGGAGGGCAAGCTGCAGGGGTGTGGGCAGACATGTAGTGACTAGGGAGTGGGGTTGGGGTGCATGATGTGAATTTCTCAAAGAATCAATAAAGAATTATGTTTTTTGTTTAAAAAAGAAAATGCCCACAGGCCAATCTGATAAACGTATTTTTTTCTTGGTTGAAATCTGTCTTCCCAGGTATGCCTAAGTTTGTGTCAAGCTGACAAAGTTAACCATGACAATATGCTAATAAAAACTCAGAAAAGAGAGATATGTACATTACATTATGCTACTTCTATTTAAAGATGTACTTGTTAATTTGCTAGTACATGATATAAAGTACATAACCAGATGAGAGGATAGGTAATGGATGCTAGCATGTGACTGAGTAAGAATAAACCTCACAAAGCAAAACCCTATTTCAGAGTTGTGACTTCATTGGTCCCAGAGTGCCTTAAGGCGACTCTCCTCAACAGCAGGACACTAAGAATGTTGCTGACTTCAGCTCAGGGCCTTCACTGTGGAAAGCAGTTGCTTGACTCATACAGCAGGAGTCTGATGGCAAATGAATGCTCTAGATAATGACATCAGGAACTTCTACACTTCCGGTCCTTATAGTTATGGTGTAAGCTGAGCCCCCACGCATCTTCTCTTTGTTGCTGAATCAAGGGGGTGTCAGAGAAAAGGAGGTGGGTTCAAGAGAGTGAGAACTCTCCTCTAACTCACATCAAACTTCTGCATCCACCTTATTCATTAGAATGCTGTCACATGACCCTGGGAAGTTTAATAACTTCATGGACAATGCTGCTAAAAGAATTATAGAAGGCAAAGAGAAGTCACTATAGTGGCCTCTATTTCTGGAAGGACAAATGCTGTAATTCAGAGGTTAAGGGAAGGAAATGTGTTACTTCCCGGCTGGTTTCCTTGAACTTCTGCACAAAATATGGTATCAATCATTTTCTTAATGTCAAATTGGGAACTTGACTCTACACACAACCACATCAACCCTGGCAGTGAGACATATGGGTAGTGGAACACACCATCAGCTCTTCATGGCTCTATGGAGCCTGGGTTGCCTGGGTAAGAATAGCTGTCAATGGCTAGTTGGGTCACATAGAGAAGTTATAGATATGTTATATTATCTATCTATCTATCTATCTATCTATCTATCTATCTATCTATCTATCATCTATCTATCTATCTGTGCCTAAGTTTGTGTCAAGCTGACAAAGTTAACCATGACAATATGCTAATAAAAACTCAGAAAAGAGAGATATATATGTTACGTTGTACTACTTCTATTTAAAGATATCTTGGGGCTATGTTTTGGAGGGACATGCTATGTCCAAATAGAACAGAAACACTGTTTGGGCAATGACTCAGGCATATTCCTAGTTAGCTCTTACATCTTAAATTAACCCATTTCTATCAGTCTATGTAT